CTGTGGGATTCGAACTCTAGACCTGCCACTTGGAGAGGGTGATGACTAGACCACTACACTAAGTCGCCACACCTCATATAATAAATTATAACCTATAAAAAAAGTATAATATAATATAAGATATTTCAAAATCTTGCAAAATATTAAATTACAAAAAATTATGTAAGATATTACAAAATATTATATAGTATACCCTCTTAAATTTGATATACATGATGAACAACCTTTAAAATTGATTTAAAATATCAATAGTCTGCTATTATATAATCACAAATAAATATGATTGGCTAGATTATATTATATATATATAATCTGTTATACAAACCCTGATCTTAGCCAATCAAATTAATTTATATTATCTGTCAAAACTAATATCTTATATATTAGCAAATTTAATAGAACGTAATATTACATAATAAATTATAACTTGTAAAAAAGACATAATATAATGTAAAATATTTCAAAACTATGCAAAATATTAAATTATAAAATATCATATAAGATATTATAAAATATTACGTAAAATATTTTGCAATATAACAAAATAATCATAACAAATTTACAGATAGTAAATTAAATTATATTAAATCACATATACTTAAAGACAACAATAAATAAAACTGCTAAGTGTATATTATTAAAAAATATTTAATATTTTAGAAATTTAAATTAGAAAATCACTAAATATATTATAATACAGGATTTTTCGACCAATTTTGTTTATATCCCATTTAAATTTGTTTATATCCCAATCAAATTCGTGTTCCGATCAATTTCATATCCAATCAAATTCGTATAAAATGCAAACAAATTCGTGTTTTAATCAAATTCGTATCCCAATCAAATTCATATCTCAACCAAATTCGTATCTCAACCAATTTCATATCTCAACCAATTTTGTTTCCCAACCAAATTCATTTTCCAACCAAATTCATTTTGCAACCAATTTCGTATCAAATTCGCTTCTAAACCAAATTCGTATCCTGACCAAATTCGCTTCCCAACCAAACAGAATTCGTATCCCGACCAAATTCGTATTCCAACCAAATTCGCTTTTCAACCAAATTCGTATCCTGATCAAATTCGCTTCCCAACCAAATTCGTATCCCAACCAAATTTGCTTCTCAATCAATTTCGTATCCCAACCAAATTCGCTTCCCAACCAAATTCGTATCCCAATCGAATTCATATCTCAACCAATTTCGTGTCACAACCAATTTTGTATTCTAACCTATTTCGTGTTCCAACTTATTTCGTGTCCCAACCTATTTCGTATCTCATCCAATTTCATGTCTCAACCAATTTCGTATCCCGATCAAATTCATGTCCCAATCTATTTCACTTCCCAACCAATTTCATGTCCCAACTAATTTCGTGTCCCAACTTATTTATTCCATCTAATTTCGTGTCTCAACCTATTTAACAATATTTGCTATCAGCTATTGCGACACAGTAACATAATATATTGTTAATTATTTTTTTCGAATTTGGTTCAGTCAACTGACGAAAAATTCAAAATGACCCAAGTGCACCCACTAAAAAAAACCTAAATTGCTCCCACTAAAAAAAAAATAAAAAAAATAAAAATAAAATAACAAAACCAGATTTATGATAATAATGAATCACTAGTATTATTGTTAAAAAATTATT